GGTCGTCTATGTTTTAGACATTATTCCTTTTCAAACGGGGTGGTTGGTTTTTGGAATGGGCTGCCTTCGGGGGTGTGGAGGCAGAAATAACTGAGTTCAAAAAAGATTGGATGAATACATGAGTAGTAAGGGGTGGTTATAGTTGGGAGCTGGAAGGAACATCCTTGATAGGCTAATAAGCTCCTTTTTGTCCCTTTAAAAATTTATTAATTTATGTGTAGTAAACAGTTATGTTAGTTAGTGTTTTTTATTGTATTATAAATCAGAAGTTGACCAAAAAAAAAATTTAATTGATGATTCAAAAGGTGTAATAAATATTACATCATGTATTTGAAATTTCTTTGTTAAAGATTCAGTAATGTTTACGAGTTATTAAAGAAAAATAAACTTTGCAAAATATCAAACACGAGTAATTAAAGTTAATCTAAGTAAAATTTTTCATAGAATTTCTTTCTATATACATTATACCTATAGTTTTACTTAGACCTAGTAATCTGATAACTGATTAATCATTTGGTTCATACAAACAACCAATTATTCTCACGAGATGACACTAACTAACTAAGCTAAACAATTTTTTTGAATTAACCGAAAATAATGAGAAATTATTTTGACAATATTTCACTCACTTGAACAGTAACGATCAGAAATACTAATTTTGATTAGTTAATTATATTAATGACATTCAATTTAATTGTAATTAATCAATTATTTTACGTCACACTAATCAATGTAATCAATATTCATAGCTAATCAATTATTTTCATTAACCGAGTTAATTGCCCAGCTCTAAACTTGCTGTATTTTTCTGTAATACTAAAACTGTATTAGTACTGTCAAAATGAATACTTTAATAACTTGACAATATTCACATGTAATTACTGTGACATCATCATATATACCTCTGTGGGTGGTCCTCCCAGAGATGCTTGTAAATCTGAAACAAAGTAATACTGTAAATTAACAATTCTTTAAGTGATAGAAATCTGACATTAAAACTACAATTTTGAGGAAGAAAAAAAAACAACAAGAGGGGAAATAAGATTTACATTAGAAAACTAATAAAATAATTATTTATAAAAATCTACTTACTTTTCAATTCTTCTTTATTTTTCTCGCTTGCTGCATTGTCTACTCTCAGAGGTCGGCCATTCAATTCATAACCATTCAGGTTTCTCATGGCACTGAGAGCCGTTTCTTGGTCTTTATATTCACAGAATCCATAACCTTTGGGCTTTCCCGTCTCTCGATCATAAACAAGTCTAAACAAACAATTCCATTAACTACCAATCATATTCAACAAAAAGAAATACTGCAAAGAGAGTTTATAAGTAATCATTCTTATTACTGTGCTGTAAAAACTTCAAACAATAACTGTTGAAAACTAAACTGTCTATTTAGGGGTGTGTGACAAATCTACAAAGATAGGAAATATTTCCATGAGAAATATAACAACGTTAGTGATTCTTATGGAAGATTACAAAAAGGTGCCGTTACCATTTCTATTCTAACAATAACTGAACCCACAGTAAATTTCTTATGTCATGGTGTTTCAATATTAACTTTTCCAGTTCATCAATTAATGCATCATTTATAGATAAAGATATATGTATTCAGAGGTACAACAAAATAAAAAACATGCTCCTCGTGCTACTGTACTTCCTTACGCATATTCAATCATTGAATATTAGTAAATGCTCAGTACAACTTTTAACTAGGGGATGTCGTGGGCTAGAAATCAGGTTCTGGCGGGGACCGGTTACGGTCCGCGGACAACCTAGAGAGGCTGTAGAGCTATGAACCGATGATAAATGATAGAACTTCTAGTCTGAATGCACCTTGTAGAAATTCCGGGCATATTCACTTTGTTATGTTTGCTGTAAAATGTTGCATTGGCTGTGCTGAAGTTAGTAAAATTTCTTACATTATCTGTGTAACTAATACTGTGTAAATGACTACATTAAAGTCTTCACATTAATTTTCTGTTGTCTCTCCTTCCTCAATTTCCTACACTTGGACAAAAAAAATACTAATTTTTATTAATGAGTCTTGGAACAATGTAACTTCAGTTTCCACCTGTCCCAGTTTGGTTGGGACTTTCCCACTTTCAGATACAATTTCTCATGTCCTGTAATAAAAATCATTGAAACGTTCTGTACTGGCTCAGTAACAAAAGCAGTGTTGCCTGGTGGTGAGTGACAAGTGGTTGCCAACTTTGTTTAATCAGTGTGTCTAAAAAAAACATTCTGAAAGTAGGCAAAAGCCAGACAACAAGACAAATCATGTTTGAACATTTCTAGGCATGAAAAGTGCAATACAAATTAGGCAAATTTTCTGATGGATAACAACATTTTTAGTTAATATACAGCTATTGTTAAGTGTTTCATCCTGATGGATAACAACGTTTTAGTTAATATACAGCTATTGTTAAGTGTTTCATCTTTATGAATAATAACGTTTTTAGTTAATATACAGCTATTGTTAAGTGTTGCATCCTTATGGATAATAACATTTTTAGTTAATATACATCTATTATTAAGTGTTTCATCCTTATGGATAACAACGTTTTTAGTTAATATACATCAATTGTTTAGTGTTGCATCCTTATGAATAATAACATTTTCAGTTAATATACATCTATTGTTAAGTGTTGCATCCTAATGGATAACAACGTTTTTAGTTAATATACATCTATTGTTAAGTGTTGCATCCTTATGAATAATAACGTTTTCAGTTAATATACATCTATTGTTAAGTGTTGCACAACTAAACAACCTTCAGGTAAGTGAGTCACAACTAAACAACCTTCAGGTAAGTGAGTCACAACTAAACAACCTTCAGGAATGTGAGTCACAACTAAACAACCTTCAGGTGAGTCACAACTAAACAACCTTCAGGTGAGTCACAACTAAACAACCTTCAGGTAAGTGAGTCACAACTAAACAATCTTCAGGTGAGTCACAACTAAACAACCTTCAGGTAAGTGAGTCACAACAGACTAAAATTTTACCTGAAACTCACAACGGGTCCAACTTCTGAGAAAATGTCTTTCAACTGTTCTTCTGTTGCTTCATAAGGTATGTTACCCACTGGAAAAACAACAAAAAGTTAGAAAACTGAAGTGGAATTTGCAAACATTTTATGCTTTCGATTATTTATCCACGATATAATTTATACACTATCCAAGAAAACGGATATTATTACATTACCAGCATCCCACTAATGTTGAATATTAAATTCAAATCATTTCACATGGTAAGTTGTTTACTGGCATCTTTCCTGAAGTATTGTGATCGTGATAAGCAATACTGGTTTCTTACTTATCTAAAAAGCTTCCCACTGTCCTGAATTTTTAAAAGAATATATATATATATACATATATATATTAAGAGTCAATATATTAAATGTACTACAAAAAGATCCTGAGAGGTCATATTATCAAAAAGACTTAATCTATTAATACAGGTAAATACAAAAATTTTGACTAATTTTGTTTGAATATTTGCATTCACCATCTTAAGAATAAAATAAACATTTATTTCTTAATCATTATTAAATCAAGTTATCTAAATTGAACAGAACTAAAAATTAACCCTGTAATGTATACAGCTATTTGTTCATCTGCCCTAATGTTATGTACTCTTGATTAGAAAACATTGTTTCGTCAGTTGTGTACTCTTGATTAGAAAACATTATTTTGTCAGTTGTGTACTCTTGATTAGAAAACATTATTTTGTCAGTTGTGTACTCTTGACTAGAAAACATTGTTTCGTCAGTTGTGTACTCTTGACTAGAAAACATTGTTTCATCAGTTGTGTACTCTTGATTAGAAAACATTATTTTGTCAGTTGTGTACTCTTGATTAGAAAACATTGTTTCATCAGTTATGTACTCTTGATTAGAAAACATTGTTTCATCAGCTGTGTACTCTTGACTAGAAAACATTGTTTCATCAGCTGTGTACTCTTGACTCTAAAACACTGTTTCGTCAGTTATGTACTCTTGATTAGAAAACATTGTTTCATAAGTTGTGTACTTGATTAGAAAACATTGTTTCATCAGTTGTGTACTCTTGACAAGAAAACATTGTTTCATCAGCTGTGTACTCTTGATTAGAAAACATTGTTTCATCAGCTGTGTACTTGATTAGAAAACATTGTTTCGTCAGTTGTGTACTCTTGATTATAAAACATTGTTTCATCAGTTGTGTACTCCTGCAGTTGATTCATCAAGATCAATAAATGGCAACTTATATTGTACTGCAAGTGATGAATCATAAGAAAGAATGATTTAAGAAAGCAAAATATAAATACACATCAAACAAAATGCACATAATTTAGATCTATAACAGCTACAAAATCAAATGCTTTTGTGTAAAGCATTGAGAATTTTTATACACCCAAACAGCCATATTGAATTTTTTTTACATATACATTTAAAAGTTTTAATATGTTCCATGCATACCATACAATTTTTGCACAACCAATGAATGAATTTCTTTCCCCCACGAAAAATATTTACTTATAAACTGGGGGGATTATAAGCATAGTTTAAGACACACTGATTATGAATGTTAATTGTTATGCTATTATAGTATTGCTTCATACATAAAATATATTATATATAAACTGAAAATGGTGTTAGGTTTTGTATTGTAACCATTTTTTTAAATCATTACCAAACTTGTTCATGAAAATGAAATAAATTTTAAACTTTCTTTCGTACTATTACCATTTTACTTTCTACGATTAAATTTTTTTAAATTAAATCTCAACTAGCGCTATAACCAATGTTTATTGTGAGAATGAGTATCATTCAAAAGGTGAACGTCAAGTAATTCAGTAAAAAAACGTCGAACGATTTAAACGCTATTCGTTAATTTCGTAAGCCTACACTGCAAATCTGTCCGTTAACATTAACAATGAAGCATTAATTATTCTAAAATTATGATCAGTGTCAGGTTTTAATGCAAAATCTCAAACTTACCAAATACCGATCTAATAGAACGATCCGTTGCTGCAGTTGACATAATTTCCAAATATAATGTAAAAGAAAAATTAATTACAATTTTTTCAACTCCTAGTTTCCACTGTTAGTGTTATAATGGAATAAGAAGGGTTGTACGTAGCGCCACCTATTAATTATACTCAAGTCTAGAATTATTCCAGCAGTCTCTGAACCAATGGTTCTGAAGCTGTTTTATTCGAGGACTACCTGATTTTTATTTTTATCTTAGTTTCTTTATCTATGAAAAGATAATGACTTATTGAAAAAAGTTCAGAGAGGGCTACTACGATGATTCTGGGGACAGAAGGGTTATTTTACATCGATATTTTAATATATCTCTTATTTTCTCTAAAGGTGATATTTTAAAGAAATTTACAATATTATTTGTGAGATCGATAGAATAAAGATCTTTGATTTTTTAAATATATTTTGAAGTCAATAGGACGAGAGGACACAACTTTCGTTTTTAGAAAAGACAGGTTATGCTCCAATTAATACAGTTTTCTTTTCTAATAGGACAACTGGCTTATGTTTCCCTTAGCAGTAGTGAAAGCCGACACTTTAGATTTCAAAATGGGTAAAAAAAATTCCTTGAAAAATAAAGGATACTTTTATGTATTCATTTTTTTTTCGCAAGGGTGTCTGTTATGTTATGCTATAAACTAAGCTAAAATTTTAACGAATATTTTCGTAACGTTATGTCAGTTCAGAGACTTTCTTTATGAGTTTAAAATAATAATAAATATTGTCTTGAAACTGAATAAACACATAGCGTAATAAGAGAAATAAGAAACATTAATTAATTATACAAGCCAAGATTGTGGATTGCATACACCTCTAACACTAGCAGATGTCCCCCGCTTTGACAGCAGTAAGTCTGTAAACTTACAATGCTAAAATCCGGATTTCTATTCCCCGCCGTGAACACAACAGATAGCCCAATGTAGCTTTGCTCTAAAATAAACAAACACTGGCAGATCTATGACCACGATTTTCAGTTAGGAGAGGGTGAGGGTATTTTTGGATAAGTTGTTCACTGTAGAAAGACTCTTGTCTTGAATATTTTGCTTTAGCAGATAGATATACCCATTCTAGTTGCTTAGCTCATACTTTTGTGTGGTTTGTGCAGTCTGGGAAACAAAAAACTAAATTTGGCATGTATATCCATTTGGACCTTCTGGTTATTTCTGGACATAAAACCTTCTCACTAGCTGTCTATTTACAAAAAATTGTGATAAATTTTGTTCTAGTTATTAATTTTGCATGTTGTTTTCAATACTTGATCTTCCATATCTAATTGTACTTACAGATTTTAAAATGTAATAATATTGTTGCGTCAGCAAGGTCACGTGACTAGTATCACGCCACGTCCTTCTCTCGAACCTTTGTGAATTATCGGGAGACTACTAGATTGGGGGTATTTAGTATATATAAGATGGTCAA